TTCCTTTCTTTCCTTTCTTTCCTTTCTTTCCTTTCTTTCCTTTCTTTCCTTCCTTTCCTTCCTTTCCTTCCTTTCCTTCCTTCCCTCCCTCCCTCCGTCCGTTCGTCAGTCCGTCAAAAGGTTGTATCGCTATAGCATCATTTTCTCCAGCGTGTCTTGTCTTCCCCATAGTCTCCTCCCAGTTGGACATGCCCATAAAAGCTCTCTAAGGAGACGTCCAGGGGACATCCTTAGCAGATGCCCGAACCACCTCAACTGGCTCCTCTTGATGTGGAGGAGCAGCAACTCCAAGTCTCTCCATTATAATCGAACTTCTCACCCTATCTCTAAGAGAAAGTCTAGCTGCCCTTCAGTGAAAACTCATTTCAACTGCTTGTATCTGCGATCTTGTTCTTTCGGTCAGTACCCAAAGTTTGTGAACAAAAGTTAGGGTAGGAATGTAGGTAAATCGAGAACTTCGCCTTACTGCTTAATTTCCTCTTCACCACAATGGACCAACACGGGCTCCACAATACTGTGGAAGCCACACCACTCCATTTGTCAATGTCCCGCTCGACTCTTACCTCTCCTGTGAACAAAACCCCAAGATACCTAAACTCTTTCACTTGAGATAGAACCTCACTCCCAACAAAGAGAGGGCAGTCCACCCTTTTCCCACCGCAGCTCATGTATTTGAACACGTATTTCCATTTGTAAAAGTGTCTCACCAAAGTAAATCTTTTATAAAAATAGTAGTAATAGTTTCTAAATTTGGCCCTGTGATGGACTTGCGACCTGTCCAGGGTGTTCCCCGCCTCTCGCACAGTGATTGCTGGACATGGGCACCGGCGACCCCCATGACCCAAAATGGAAGAAGCGTGTAAAAGATAATGGATGGATGGCACTGGAGGCCTTCGTTATTTTTCCTCCTCCACTGATAAAGAGCTCCAGTTTCAGGACCCTGCATACTAAAGTGATAATTATCCTTCTCTGTCAGCATCATCTGCCGTATGAAAGTGAAAGTATGTTGACATTGACCCAGTTACTCGCATATTTGCACAACATGAATGGATAGAACACACCTATGCAAACATGGTCAGGGGAGAAGTTGCTAATAAGTTTTTCCTTTTTTTACTGCTTCGCTGCAGATTTTTTATTTTTATTTTTTATTTTTATATTTCTGTTTCAGCCTCTTGAGGGCCCAAGTATTTTTTGGAATCTGTCTGACCCAGTTCCTGCCCTGACTTAGGAGGGAAATGATGACATTGTGGGATTTTCCTGTCATTATGTGAGGTCTGAGAGAGTGTTATGCTGTAATAGCCTTTGAGCAAATCCTGCAGTTGTCTTCTTTTGTCGTCTTTTTACTGCAGGGCATTTGTGGGCCAGTTCATTAGATGATTAATACAAGTACAAATAAAAACTTGTTTTTTGATTTCTTTAATATAAGAAAATGCATAAAAATAAACTGTTTCTCCCCACGGACTGTCATGCAGCGTTTTTCTTAACAAGACAGTGCATGTATTTTATTAATTTAGCCAATTTGCTGTTTCCTCTTTAGATGTTTTGGGTCCAGTCACAATGACAAACTTTTGAACAACAGGGGCATTGATAAGTGTATTTACCAAAGCAACAGGCTGCTACTGAATGCTAGATGCATCTGCACATACAAGGGTGAGCATATTCAGGATATTCATGTTGCTTTCACATGTCTAGATTTAGGGTGCATTCACACCAGCACTGTTTAGGCCACTTTAATCGAACTCTAGTCCGTTTGTCTAGAAAGTCCAGTTTGTTTGGGGAGGTGTGAATGCGCAATCGAACTCTGATGCGGACTAAAAAAGCGAACACTGGTCCACCTAAATACCTAGGTCTCGGTTGGGTTGAAGTAAACTCTAGCATGGTTCGAGTGCATTGTGATTGCAAGCGGACCGGAGACCGCTCCAAAAGCAGGAAGTGGACTCCAGTGCAGGGCATTCTGGGTAAATGCAACCAAAACAAACACGTATTTCTCTTACCTCATACGGAGCCGTCTCAGCTGCCATGTATGAAAAACAATATTCTCCATGGTCTTCTGCCTCATCTTCTGCTCATGCTGAGTACATTGTTGAAAAATGTTTGTTCGGCACATGAGCCACAGACAAAACAAGAAATCCTAAAACTGCTAAAATTTGACGCCACTTCATTTTTGTTTTTATTTCCAGAAGTAAATGGCACTCAGTGTCTTCTTCAGTGGTTTTCCTGTCATTTCCTTTAGTAGTTCTTGGTGCAGCGCCACCACAGGCGCTATCCACAACAGCAGTGCAGTGTGAATGCAAACAGCACTAACTGAATATCAGAATAAGCTTTATTATCATTGTACCGAGATACAACAAGAATAAAATGTAAACAAATGTTCTGAATTTTGTTCCTCAATCGACCCGAGTCTACCGGACTATCAGGTGTGAAAACAACCTTAGTCTCATACAAACGAAGCATTCTACTCTCTTATATCCATCAATCCATCCATTTTCTTTAACCACTTCTTCCTTTCCGGGTCGCGGGGGTCACTGGTGCCCATGTCCAGCCATCACTATGCGAGAGGCGGGGGCCTGGACTTTTCCAGTTCCAAGTCCATCACTGGGCCTTGCTGAGACAAATGAGACAAACAAGCGTTCACACGCTCACTCACACCTTGGGACCAGTTAGCTTAATAAGCATCTTTTTGGTCTATATGTATAGAAAGAAACATGGTAAGATTTATTTTATTGACATTTTGTGTACATAGTTGTTCTGCAGAAATTCCACTGTAGCTTTAGGACCACTCTTTATTTATTTATTTGTTTGCTAACCTCTTTGCACATGCACATGTAACATCAGTGAATCTTTGATTTTAGCCAGATCTTAATTTATTTATTTCATATTATTTGATTCAAATATAGTTCCTGTTTTTGCACAGTATCAGGGACCGTTTCAGCCGACTGGAATGTCAGTACCAGTTATTCAGTTGCTTCGTTTTTGCTCTCGTGCAGATGTGTCGCCGGTCCTGAAGGCTAGTTCAGGGTTGGGTTAGAGTGCAGAGAGCAAATTTTCACCTGTTGTGTTGACAAGTGCTGCCTGTCAGTGAAAACTTACTTTGTGACAGGGGAGCAAAGGCGAGTCTCCATATGGTTCCTGCAAGACTCGACCTAAGACCTAGCTTTTTAAACTTTCTTCCAAACACTCACACACACACAGAGGCTCATGCACGCTTATATTCAGTGCCACATTTTTGCATGTACATGGAATGTTGTAGATTAACCCAAAGGAAGTGTGCCTGCAGGCTGGTGCTTACATGGGGCCTCAGCTCACTGTGGCCTGGACAATGTCCTACAGATGGCTTGAAACCAGCCAGCACACAGCACAGGAAATAACTCTCAGACTTCTCCATTTTTTTTTTCTTTTCTATTCTTACCTCTTTACTTCAACTTTTTTTTCTGTCACTCTTTTCCGCAGACTCTGTTTGTTCAGGATTCTACTTTTTAGCATTCATTTTAAAAATAAATATGTGGTTTCTTTAGGTGTTTTAAAAATATTTTCTTGTTGAGGTGCTAAATAATGGTTTGCGTGAAGATTTGCACACCAGCAACAAAACTGTGTTAAAGTCAAAAACTACCTTTTTATTGCCCCTGAGGCCTTGTCTCTGTACAGGTTCTATTATCTGGACTCTACTAACCAACACATCTGAACACAAAGACTTAAACATATTGGAATAAAAAGTACTGAATTTTCCGCCGTATAAGTCACACCTTTTTTCATAAATTTGCAAGTCCTGCGACTTATACACCGAAGTGACTAATATACATTCTTTCCCATATTTATAATCCAATTTTTGGCTGAGATCTAACGATTTCATTTATTCTGACATGTAAAATATTGAGCACTACTATTTTCAGCCACTAGAGGGCCCTCGACTAATATGGCAAGCCAAGTGTCTCATTAATAGGTTAAGGTGGCTATTGATGAGACACTTGGCTTGCCATACCAAGCCACCTTCGTCTCGCTCCAGAACTCCTGAAGCAAATGCCAAATCAGCTGCATTTCGCTGCACCGCCCAGGCGAAATGCAGCTGATTTGACCATTAAAGTGCATTTATTAAGGAAAAGTTCGACTGAGACACACTTTTGCTTTAATTTTGAGCAAACAAATAATTGTTTTTAGGTGTTAATCTTGTTAAATTTTGACAAAATGCACAGCGAGTCCTCCCTCTGCGCGCTCCCGTTTTCGCAAGTCGGCTTTTGAAATGCAGCTGATTTGACCATTAAAGTGCATTTATTAAGGGAAAGTTCAACTGAGACACATCTTTGCTATAATGTCGAACAAATGAATAATTGTTTGTAAGCGTTAATCTTGTTAAATTCTTGTTAAAGTCCTCCCGTGCACGCTCCTGCGGCCGCCATTTGGCAGCCAATCATTTTTTGGCACAACACTGGCCCACGTTTCTGGCTGGTCAGCGATGACGCATAACAAATGCAACGCGTCAGTTGTGACGCATAATAGATGCGACTTATTTATAATTTTTGTCCACTTTATCGCACAATTTTGGACTGATGTGACTTTTGCAACGGTGCGACGTGTACGGCGGCAAGTACGGTAGTGCTTTGGTCAGATTTAAGTTTTATTAATATGGTGAAGTCCAGTTTATGAATCTTAATGTGTCACTTTACACAAATGAAAGTTGTTGCTGGTGTTGGGGTTCTGCACTCGTAGAACATGAATTTCAGTCGGTTTGTTGATAACACCCTGGTTTATTATCAATTTATATGAAACCAATGAGGTTCCAAACGGTACTAAAAGGTACTACCAGTAGTTTGTCTTGGATGAATTCAGGATGGTTTCAATTAATAAATGAGAAAAAAAAAAAACATTGTTTTTGGCCTTATAAATCTAAATCACCATACAAGTTGTTAATGGAATGGTTTTGGCATCCAGTGCTGAAGGGAGGAACCTTGGATCACTACTTACCATAATTTCCTTTTTTATTTTTCATATTTTCCAGGCTTTTATGGTGGCCTCTCTCATGTGTTTAATGTAAAAATAATAATAATAAAAAAAATCATTAATATCACAATTTAAAAGCAATGCTGAGAGACTGATGCATGCCTTTGTAACAGCTAAACCAGACGTCTGCAGTGTTCAAATAATTCCCTGAAAGTCTTTCCGTGAATCCAAAACGCTGCAGCCTCAGCACTGACTGGAACCACTAAGACTGATCACATTTCTACTGCTGTAGCCTTTCTGCAGTGACTCTGTAACGTTTGGAAAATAATTCAAAATCCTTCCAATTAAATACAAGGCCCAGATCTGATATATGCCAAAGCTGTTATTGTTCTCTTAAAAGCACCCTACATTCTTAGAACAGTTTAGCTCTTCTCCTCCAGAACCAGATCTGTTTGGATTCAAAGCACATACTGGTTTTTCCTAACTTTAAAGCTTTGAAAGTCACCAATTGTGTAGATATTGCACTTTTTTCTATGTTTTGCATATTTAGTTTGTATACAGATGAGTTGAGTTTCCATAAGACTGAAATGTTTATTTAATGTTTGTGTTACACTTTTATTTTTGCTCGCAGACCAAGATTACTTGAGACTGCAGATTGTTCATTTTCCTTCTTGCCATCTCACTGTTGCTTCTGGTCCATTTAGAAAAGACCAGAATCTGCTGTCGCCGGTCAACTGCTGGTACCTGCTGCTGAACCAGGTTAGGAGGGAGAGTAAGGACCATGCAACACTGAGCGACATCTACCTCAACAACGTCATCATGAGGTTCATGCAGATCAGTGAGGACTCCACACGGCTACTCAAGAAGGTAAGGGTAATATATTTTATCTTTCCAAAAGTTGTATAAAAGAAAAATACTTGAAGTGCCTTGGATGGTCAATACTGAGTTTTACCCATTTTGTTACATTCTTGTCACTCTTGACGGCCAGTTGAGCGCATTTTCATTATTGATGAGGGATTTTCACCTGTTTGTTCTGCAGAAAGTTTCAAGTTTTATGAGTTTATTTATATGTTTGGCTTACATTGCTTTACAAGAGGAACAATTTAGATGACATTCTGATATTCAGGTCAGGCACTGTGACAAAACGTGCATTTTGTGATGTCTCCGAGATCATTTATCTGTTTTCCAAGGCTTCATTTTTTTCCCCCTCTTCATGATCAGAACTTGCTTGTAATCAATGAAACAATATATCCTGTAGAACAGTGGTTCTCAAACTAGGGTCCCTGGACCCCTGGTGGTCCGTGAGCCGGTGCTCGGGGGTCCGCTATTTTATTTTATTTTATTTTTACAAGCACGTAGATGTTTTTGACAACCTGTTAAAATACACCAAAAAGGCAAGAAATCACATCTACTTTATTAAAAAAATTCTGGGGGAGGTAAAATTAAAAAAAATTGTTAATTGTGTCTTGAATGAAAAATACTCCATGTATAAAAGTATATAAAAATTATATTAACACTATTAAAGAACAGATCGTAAGTACTTATGTTACACAAATGTTTGTATTGCGCTAAAGAGAAAAATTGAAGAAAATTATTTAATAAACATGAAGGTTATGAGGGGGGTCCCTGAAACCTTTTCTCCCCTGTAAGGGGTCCCTGAACCCAAACATTTTGAGAACCCCTGGTGTAGAAAACGCTCTCCAAGCCTAAAAATACTTACTTTAAAGTTGGATTTTAGATTAATTATGGATCGGCAACCAATTTTCAGAGGAAGCTACGAGAAACTTAAACTGTTTTCACGCAGACAGACTGAATCTAAAAGCATTGTGCTCGTTTCTTTTCTGTGTATTGTTTTTAACACAAATTCAGTTTTAGTAGTTAATGTAATTTCCTTTTGTAAGCACTGTGACTGCAACCAGCATATATATATATATATATATATATATATATA